AGCTGTGCTTCTTTGAAGTGTTCACCAAATGACCCAAAGAGTGACTTGAGCATAGGAGGGTTAAAGACAGGTGTACATGTCGATTAGTAAATTGATTCAAACCAAACCATTTAGCTCGTTTAAGAGTGTAATTTAATGGTGGGTTGTGTGTTGCTCCTTTACCCAGGCAAGCCAAAAGACATTGAGAAAGCCAAAGAGCGCTTCAAGAAGACAGTACTGAAGCTGCATGTGGCCCACAATGAGTACGTCCTGTCGCTGAAGGCAGCCACGCTGCACCAGGAACACTACAGGACCAGCATCTTGCCCAGGCTGCTGGAGTGTCTGCAGCAGTCGCAGGAGAGCCAGATAGCTCAGGTGTAAGTGGGCAATCCCTTTCTCTCTCCCAGGGGGTGCATTGGAACCAAAAGGCGGCCAACTGAATTGTTACAAATTGCACCTCGGTTCAAAGATAGTAACGGCACTAAACTCTGCCATGAGGTCAATCTGTTCGGCATGCTGGGAGAAATGAACGTCGGTTTTTAAAAATGTTTCAAGTGACACATCTTTGGAGTGAAAAAGTTTCCTGCCAGGAAAGTTTTCTGCACACTTTACTGCCAGCCGTGTCACTTATAAGGGGTTACCATGAAATTTGCCCCTGAAGGCAAATTCTATCAAGTTTACAATGTACGTGTACATGTACAAATGTAAGCAGCTCGTTAATGAATTCCCGATACTATCCAACCCTTTTAATGAGCAATAATGATGGGTACCCAGTCCCAATGGCACACCTTTGCAAGTAATCATTAATGTACTCCTGACTGAAATATTGCCTCCACCAGCCAATGTTTTTTTAGACAAGAAGTTATACTAGTTCTGTTCTTGTTCATTTGCAGCAAGCAGACAATGTCAGAGCTTTCTAACCTGTCCAGTACCTGCACCGGGGACTTTGTCGCGAGTCAGAATGCTATCATGCGGAGCATAGCCGAGCTCCGCCCAGACATCGAGTACTCGAACTTTGTCGAAAATCACAAGTAAGATAACTCTGAAATTTTAAATCAAGCAATGCTGAGAATATACATGTACGGTACACAGAAGTTATTTCACAACACAGATCTACACTTACATTTACCTGTACATATGGTGTACATTTACATGTGCATAACAGCTGTTAGCAGTTTCGTTTGAATTGGTTTTTGAAAGCTGTACGTACCGGGGTAATTGGCAGTGTTCAGACCTACATGTACCCTACATGCATGTCCATTAACCTTGATTAATGAGGAAACAAAGTGATAGTGAATTTACGAAAGAAAAAAAGGAAACATAGCGGACTGTATACCATTGTGACCTTCAGATAACTCAGTAGGTAACAGCGTATTTATCTGATTATGGATGTGGATCATGAGTTTACAAACAAAACAAGTGCTGAAACAAGTAAACATCTTAACTTGCAACATTCCCGTAATGCTGCCTTCAAGGAAAGCTCCCACCTGCTCTTCAGCACATTGCCCTAAAACCCTCATTTAATCAACCAGGAAATTTGCACTTGTGGTATTAGGCCATGATTGTTGTGCACATTTTTGTTCTTGAGCTTTTGCAGGCCAGTTCAATTGTCTTGGTGTTATGTAGTTTCACTCCTCGTCAGCGTAGTTTAGCTTCCTGTGGTGTTAGTGGGCAAGTACAGTTGTCTGTATCCACATGTACTTCACAATTTGCCAGAAACATAAATGTACGTCAATACTTTTCTTTTCTGTGTCCTGTATTGTTTTTTTAGCTGTTCAGGAGGCACTTTCCAAACCTGACTCACCTTTTGTACACATGCAGTCAACAATCCACAAACCTTTCAATGTGTTAGGTACTGCAAACGGTGTGTTGAACATTAATGCCCAGTGCATGTGTGGAACATTAAAAGTTATCATTTCCTGTTTTTCCAACCACGCTCACTCTACCTATGCACACACAAGGATCCATCTATTTGTTGCTAAAGTGGGTGGAAATGTTGACTGTTGTCATTTGCACTGCATATGCCATTTCACCGAAGAGGTTTTTTTAATACACGTGTAGGGTTACATATATATGCACTATTGTCATGCTGATACATACATGTATGTCTACGTGCACAATTTATGTTAGAGTTCATTTGGGGTACACATAAATCTTTTGCAGTTAGCTGATTTGACAATCAATTTGTATGTTGTTATTTCAACTTCTGAAAGGAATGACAAAATGTAAATACCCTTAGGAGAAAGAGTTTCCTGGAACAGAACATCAGCAGTGCATGTTTGTCTACCTTGTTGGAGTTGTTGGCCCCTAATAGCGGTCTTTCATAATGCTTCATATGACTGGGCCTCATGCAGGAATGCTAACTCTCCAACATGCATAGAGTCATATATTTGCACACCCAAGTTGGTTTGATTCAAGGCTCTTGCGGTAAAGCATCCTCCACATCCCTTGCTTGTGTAGCTGGTGCCCGGTTTCTTTTTTCAATTTCAGGACACCTGCTGTTCGAGGTAGCACTTTGTTGTATAGCAAAATCTACATGTATTTCTGGGGGTAGACACAATGCACGCCCGCAGTTGTATTGTATGATCCTTCATCTTGCATGTAGTAATCTGTTCTTGCTGATCTTCACTGGCTCCCAGTTCAATCTAGAATTGTTTTCAAAATCTTACTTCTGGTCTTCAAAACACTCCATGCTGACTGTCCTGAATACTTGTCACAGCTCATCACTGTTCGTACTGAGTCTCGCTACTGTCTTCGTAGTTCTGACCAGAGTAACGGTATTCTTCTTCGATATCCACCCATTCATAGTAGGACCATGGAGGAAGGTCCTACCATGGAGGTCCTCCATGGTCTAGGTGATCAGTCCTTTTTACATGCTGCCCCATACATGTATCTGTGGAATCAACTCCCAGTTCAGGTGCGAAATGCCACAAGTTTAGGCCGGTTTAAGGCACTGCTAAAACTCATCTGTTTAAGATCGCTTTTGAGCTTTGATGTGTGTTTATCAGTATTTTAATGAATTGTATTGGTTTGCACTCTTTTGTGATGGCTTTAATTTATTTTGTTTTAATATCTGTGTGTAATCGTTTTTGTTAATGTTTTTAGTGATTCTATGTCTTTCGAATTCTGATGAAATTTTAATATTACACAAGTTTATTTTTATGTCATTGGTTGTACAGCGCATTCGAATATTTTTAAATAGAATTTGCTTGATAATGGTACCCGGTTTGGCAAGGTGTACCCGGAATGGGTGCTTGGCACAGTGACATCTCAATTGCCTGCGGTAGCGGTACCTTGCCTCTGTCTTTGTCACCAGTGAGGCGTTACAGTACATGTACATGGAGCCTTCAACTACATGTACAATGTACCTGCTGGTTTCCATCCTATGGCAATACTGATCCTCAGAAAGTTACTGGTACAAACTGGTTTTCAGCCCCCCAATTCACTCCATCAGGCACCGCAGTTGATGTTGTTACCGGTGCTTGCAAATTAGCGGCTTCGCTTAAAGAAAGGTGGTGTACAGTCAGGTGGACCAACCATGGGCTAAATGTGCTCAAAATGAGAGCTTATCGGGGCAGAATTCAGTCACATACTGCAGGAAAACCTATCGGCTCAGATTCTGCAGGCCTACATGACAATGTACATTATTCTACCCTCATCTGTCCCCTCTCCCGCCACTGTCTATCCCACCCCTTTTGTCGCCCAGCCCTCTCTTTCCCACTATTCCTCCATCCTCAATATAACCAGAACACAAGACAAAAAGGAACTGTGCTAACCGGTCCTTGATTCCTCGTGGCCTCTGTTGCAGAGTCGAATCACCCGCTCGGGAGTACTTTGAGTTTGATGCCAGCATCATGGAGGAGTTCTCTGACGGTTTAGAGGCAAACACCATTGTCGTTGACAACCTCACCCTGGAGTCAGTCCAGCACACGTGAGTCTCCACTTACATTGTAGTCACAAGTCATTTTAACCAAGTCACGTCTGATCACAAGTCATTTGTCCTCGAGTAAAGTCAGTACTAGTCCGAGTCATTTTTTTGTTTTGTTTTCGAGACATCTTAAGTCTGGTTACCTGGCACTTATGTTGACATCCTGTATTAATGATGTGGCCTGTGATAGCTGTGTAAAGCAGGTACCAGTATGATACATGCATCTGCCCAATGTTTCCCGTCATAAAATGTTTACAGGCCTGCATGTACATGTTGTTAGGAAAGTCATCATGGAAACAGGTAGGTTTGCTTTGCCCAGAAAAAGTCAACCTTTTTTGGCAGAGACAAATGTTTCCTTGGATTTATGTTAACAAAAGTTCGCAGTGGCAGGGAGTCAGTTTTGTTCAAGTATCAAGTGGTAATTCCGGTCACAAGTCATGCTCGTTCCAAATCAAGTCATCTTAAGTCAAAAGAACAACATGAACCAGAGACTGATTGCCCAAGTGAAGTCATCAACACTGCTTGAGTGCACCCCATGTGCCTGTATGTTGGGTACACTCTGAAAATGTGCCTGACAAAAATTTTGCAGATTTAACAACTCATTGTCTTGTTTTAGAAAAGCACATGTTGCATACTTTTTTTGGTTTTGCAGATATGAAACTAAACTTTGCTAATATCTTGAATGCTGCCTGTACATATACACCAAGTGAATGCCTTTTCTGGGGCAGGTCTCATACATGTATTGTTATTTTTTGTGGCGTGTTCCTTCCTTACTTGATCTTGCATTCAAGAACATATAATGTTCCCTCTCGCACATTGTATTTGTATGTATTCAGTTATCTTCATTTGTTGATACTCCCCTTAAATTTCCTGATGTGTCCGAGGATCGAGTGAGGAATTCCCGTAAGCACTCACATCCTCTTTGTTCTATTTATAACCTTACCACTCATTCCCAAATCCCGTCAAGCCAGGTTTGCAGCATTGTAAACTGAAGTACACGATACCAAATGTCTGCGTGGGGTGAAAGCGATAAACTGCACATGTACAGTACATTTAACATGAATAAATAACTCTGCAGTTTTACATTAAATGACTCATGACTGACTTCAGTCAAGAACTTACTGAGGTTCTTGTGCTCCAGTACATTACATGCATGCATGGCTGCTTTGCTTAGCTTCCCCTCGACACCAAAACTGCTCTTACCTTTATTTTTCCTTACAACGTCTTCTGCTCTGGTGGAAAATTCTGCATGTCACTGCAGCTTCTTGCTCATTGCATTGCCTAGGGAGGCGGGGGGGGGGAGGAACAGAAGGCATTTTGTGAAGTCGTCAACCGTTTTGGACTCTAGAAAACTTGTCAACTTTGAAAACCTTTCTGTAAACTCCAGGCATTTTTTGGTTTTGTTTTGCTTGTCACAAGTTACTTCATAACTAGATGTAAAAGGAAGGAAGTTTTACCAAAAATGTGCCACGCCATGTTCGTATGGTGTGTTAGCGTTCACCTCTTTTAGGGTGTCACGCCTTTCCCCGGGTTGCCCCGCCCCCGTCCTCTTTGGAAAGAATGGTTCCACCACAGAGAGGCATTTGTGATACAGTTTATCGCAGGAAAATGCTTTAACATCGTGCACTTTTCATTAATCAGCATTTTGTTTGCATTTATGAGGACTCGGCAGCTGTACGCGGACAGTTGGCGTACAGTACAGTAGCAGTTGGCGGACGTGCCCAATTGAAGGTTGAATATTAGATTTATAAGTTTATGAATGAATGGTGAACTGCAGGATGGCATTTTAATTTGGTTTAACATAAACAATAGACACTCGATGGTGCCTCAAACAACACAATAAATTTGATCTCCTTACAAAAACAGTACGGTACACAAATAAAGCACACAGGATATTGGCCATGAAGTCAGAAAAAAAATGGTCCATATGAGACAAACTCTTGGTGATGCGTTGCATTGCGAATTTCTCCCGTTCGTTGTAAACAATGCTCACTTACATGTACACATACACGCATGTGCACATATAGGTACGGTACATGGACATGTATGGTGCATGTATCTTAGCTTGAGAAGAGGAATGGACCGGTAACATGCAAACATGTACATGTACCTGTGTCCTGCATTGTACAGTGTACAGTACATGCACAGGTACATTCCCAGCATGGAGGAGACATTGTTTTCTCACATACATGTAACAAAGATTTGAATTACATTATTCCACGTGCTGCATGTACATGTAGTACCTGAAACAGCCCGGACATACACTGTACATGGGTACATGTACATGTGCATCACTTGTACGTCATCAAGGGTCCGAGGCAATGCAAATTTTTTTTTGCTACCGTACGAGCCCTTGAAAACACACCCTTTTTGTTTCATTGTGTTGTATTTTTAATTTTTACTTTACTGCGTGTATATGATCAGGTGTTTTGGTGCTTTTTTTATTTTATGAAATTTCCATGTTTATGTGCAAAACTGTGAGGCATTTCACAATGTTGACCGAAGAACCTATACACTGAGCAGTGTCTTCTCTGATTGGTGGGAAGGTAAAAGCGCCCTCTGTTTTCTGAAAAAAACCCTGGCTTTTCAATGCACTTAACCCGCAAATGATGTGAAATTGCTTTTATGTACTGGTACATATGTAGATGTTCCTGTATGTACCGGTACACGTACATGACGAAGGGCACGTGTATGAAAGTGCACAAAAAGTGCAGCTAAGAAAACTTCATCATCCGGATCCTTTAACTCCAATTCCATTATTTGTTTAAACACACATGTATGTGCATGTACCGGTACACGTACATGCTTGATGGATGGTTGCTAATACATGTACATACCATTCCCAACAGGATGTGCGGTGTATTTATACTTGTGCATGTACATGCACCCATTCACACACCCGCTCCGTTGTGGGTTGTGGCCAAAAGAAATGTTGTGATCAAGATGAAGCAGGATTATGCATGTGCTGTGTCATTCAGATAGGCTTGTGAAAACATTTCCTTCCTCGTTGCAAGCAAGCAGAGTGGAACACTCTTTCCCTGCTTTTGCTTCAGGTGCTAATTGCCGTACAGGGCATTTGTATTGTCGGGCTTGATCATTCAGATGAGCTGCAGCTCCACCTGACTTTCTGAATGCCCCGTCCTTTCTGAATGCCCCGGTGTGCCCCTCTCACATCTTGGTGACAAATGGTTGCCATTGACCTGAGAGGGAGTTAATCGAATTAGGCCAAAGTGGAACAGGAAGTGGAGAGTGGTCAAGTCTCTTAGATTCCAACAGGTTCCGTAATATACATGCATACCCTGTATGTGTGCACGCATGGTTCCATGCCTCTGCCTTGCCTGAATACCAGCAGTTTCAAACCTAATTGGGAAGGGGTTGCTAGATATCGTTTCCGGAGTGTCAGCTTTGCAAAAAGGCTGTTCCTTTTTTCTTTTTTTTTGGTTCCCCCCCCTTTTTTGTCATTGAACCCTGGCTTTTGTGGAGTTTGGTGTTTGGTTTATGATGTTTGTAGGGCTGTGCCTATTCAAATGTTGTACTTTTTTCAAAATCAAATATTCAAAGGTACAAAATGAATTGAATAAAGGCATGGAAAATTCTGTGATTTGGTTACAAGGTTGCTCTCAAAGAGCTTGAATATTTTAAAGTTGACTAATGCTTGTATACCCAACAATAAGGCAAAAAAATAGTTTTTCTTTCACTTCACTTGTATTTGTTATTTTTACTTTCTGCTGTGTGAGATCTCTTTTGGACTGAGCGAATGGATCACCAATTAAGACTGAACATTCCCAACCTCCTTTAGTTACAGGACAAGCCCCTGCCTCGAAACGTGATTTAGGTGTACACTGCACGTACGGCGTACATGTACGTGTATACACATCTACTTTGTTCCTGCTTTTGTGGCAAGTTGATGCCACCAAATATTTCAATATTCATTCATTTGAAGTAACTTAGCCTTAGGTATTAATATTGTACTGTACAAACAAGGAAAAGACTTTGTGGGCAGCCATTCAAAAGTAACCTTTCTCATATTACCAAACTGTACATTGTCCCTGTAACCATGGTAACAATTGCAGTTTCGCTTTTTGATAATGGACTTTCCTTGGCAATATTAAAGGTAACAAAATCACAGAACTGGAGAGGGGGAAATGGCTGATTGAAGTTTGGGGTTGAAGCATTGGTCAGTCCACCAGATGTTTTCTGTGGAGGACAATCCCCTTGAGACACGCACATGGCTTGGTCTTTAACTTCATAGGAAAAAAAAACTGTTCTAAAAGTCAGTAAAATTGCCGCGCTGTTCTCGTGAAGATAGTCATTCACAGTTGCATTCACTGAACAGATACGACTCTGTACATCCATAAAAATTTCAGTTTCAAGTTTTTAAACAATGTACCTGTACATATATCAGACATTGAGAATCAAATATGTAAAGAAACAAAACCACGAAACAGAAAAAAAATCAGCCCAATAGAGTCCAATATTGGTTGTATATGTACGATAGATGTAGAATGCACCCACGTTATCTGGTTTTGACCTCACTTTTTGTTTCATTTTTTTTTTGGCCTCGTACATCATGCAGAGCTCAGGCTGTGGTGAAACTGCTGTCTCCTTTGCTAAACTTGGAATTCCTAAACTTTATAGCAAGTTGAAAGTTTTCTTGCTGTGGAATTAAGTCTCTGAATGTTCCTACATGTACAAGTACAGTATTGAAGGTACCGAATGTTACTTATGAGTGAAAATGTATTGTCTATTAAGGAAGCCGGAGAAATGAATGCTGTACAAGTTTACGTTGTCTTTGAGATCAATAACGTGCCACTTGCTAGATTGAAATCCAAGTCACAGAGAGGGAACACGACAAAACACCCCTACACCAACCCGTCTCCCTTGCTCTACAAACCAGACTGGAAAATGGTTTTTAAAAAAATAACCCATAAATGATAACCATCCTAATATTGATATCTCCTGTCATTCCTATTTTCAGGAAAACATCTCTCTCCGAAAGCCTGGATGAAGTTCGCCAGACCCTGATCAGCAAGAAACAGGAACTGCAGGGGCTAGATGAAGAGATCCGGACCATCCAGCCATCACCCACAGACGAGGCAGTCCTACTTGAGTAAGAGGCCGGCGTTTGTCGCCATTTTATTCGCAGCACTGGGCAAGTTACGTACCTAGCGCATGTGCAGTGAAGTTGAAGTGCAAACCGGTGTCAGGTCATTGGGCAAAATAGCAAAAATAAAAATGAAAATAGTCGTTTAGTAGTGACATAATGTTTTTCAGGCATTTTTCTCATAACTGTTCCTCTCTGCACTGTGCTATTAAAAACTTTTTATGGCAACCAATGATACGACCAGCCTCGATAGGCTGGTTGCAAATAGTTGACTAGACTAGGCCAACCATCATCAACTGGCTTGCGTTCAGAATTAGTCAAACCACGGTTAACTATGGTCCTTGATCCAAGTTGCTCACTGTAGCATAGGCCTTAGTTGCCAAAAAAGACACTCGCAGTATTAAGCCTCAAACAACCCGGAGTTCTGCTTGAAAAAGACAGAACTGCTTCACACAGGACGGGGCATTTCAGTGTGTGATCCTTTCTTATTCTCTGGTGTGCCGCTGAAGTCCAGGCGGCTAGTTCTTGACACGAGGTTCTTATTCTCCCACTCGGAACACCAGGTATACAACCCTTGAACACAGTTCTTGGAACAAGATCGCATACCACCTCCTCGTCGGGGTTTTGCATGAAGATATGGAAACGCAGAGGATGTTTTATTTTTGAAGAGCCACAAAAATAGCAAGCATAGATAACAAAGCTGAAGACGATGGAAAAGTTTAACAAAATTGACACTGATAATTTCCCCAACATAGAAACTAATGTTCCTTTTAAGTAGGAAAGAATGCAACCTGGAAATTCAAACATTAACCCTTGAAACAGTGAATGGATGCCTCCATGTTGCTTGTTCCTGGCATTTAAGCAGCCGACGCACGAATAACAAGTCGAGCTATTTATGAACATGCGGGAACAAACTGCACAGGCTCAGCCACAGATTCTGAGTTTAACACAAACAGTGACACTAAGTGAAGAGCAGGTTTCAGTGCAAAACAAATTGGTCACCCAGCAAATGCCACATTATTTCTGGGCTGTCAAACGTGTGTGTTGCTGAGCCTCCAGGCATGACCATTAGAAATGATTTTCCAAGCTATGATAACCCCCCCCCCAAAAAAAAACAAATACAACTCTCCCTTTGAAGGGTACCCCAATTAAAATGGTTTAAACATTAGTTTTACGATTAATTCTTTGATGATTGTCAGCTTGCTGTCGAAGCAGAAGATGTATCGGGATGTCTCCCGGGAAATCCAGGACCTGAAGTGCCAGGAGGCCAAGCTGAACGCCCAGTTCACCATGCTCGACCAGAAGCTGCCGGCCGAGGGAGAGGAGGACAGTCTGCCCCCAGGCATTGACCTCCCGGACACGCCCATGGTCAACTCCAGCACCATGAAATCAGGCACATTGCCTGCCCAGCCTGGGGTAATTATCATTTTAATGTACATTACATGCATGCAGGTAATTCCACAAAATAGGGGTCCATTTTTTCATGCCCCTGTCACATCTGACATGTGATTTTGTAAGTTCAGAACACAGTTTCTAATTTCCAAGAGTGATGAATTAATGCAAATTACCTGCCAAACAAATAATAATAGTTTGAAATCAATTCCGGTGATATCTACGTGTCAAATAACAAAGGTCAGATGTAACAGGGACACAAAAATGTCACACTTTTGGACCCCTAATTTGTAGAATTACCCATATTCATAGTGAATACGAAGATCGTGCATTTGAGAAAATGCATGAAATTGTCACATTATGCCAGATATACGTTTAGCCCTACTGTAGGACAGTTTTGCTCCGTGCATGGGTTTTACAATCTTCTGTAACTTTTTATGGCATAAAATCCTGATGTAAGATACATGTATGTACATGTACATGTATGCGTTTGTAGAATTCAGCCGTTATGCTATTTGACACCTACACCACACTGTACATGAACATGTGTTCTGTATTTTTTGACCCACTGTGATGTAGGCATTTGTCAATTCTTTCACATATATCCTGTCAGTCATATGTCCTGTTGGTCCACTTGTCTGCCCATATGTGGAATGTCATAACCCGTCACATCACAAGGTAGTTTATCAGTAAGAGGGAGGTGACAGGTGACAGAGGATTGGGGGGGGTCATTGCCACATTTTTAGTCGGTTAGACCGTGACTTTGACTGCACTGCATGACTTGTCATTGACTTTGGATGATGTAGGATTTTTAAGATTGTCTTTTTGAAACGTTTGGAATAGAGTTAATCGACAGTCTCCTTGTCCTCTGCATCTTGCAACAGGATAAGAAGGAAAAGAAAATGCACATGGGTCGGGTGACAGGCTTCTTCAAGCGAGGCCAGGACTCCAGTGAGGTAAGACCATGCAACATTCAACAACATGACATACCCAGAGGTGACAATGAGGGAGGATGGAGTAGTGGTTACTAATGGCGTAATGTACACATATGGACTGGCAGTAAGGTCAATTTTATGCATATCTGTGTGCCTCAAAGGACTGCAGGGGACCAGTGAAGGGTTCTGAGTCCCCCGAGGTCAAAGATCAAGGGAAATGAAGACCCTCTTCTGGTCATTCAGTGGTCTAAGGGGGGCGCAGATGTGCACGAGTGACCTCACTGCCAGTCCGTGTAATATAAAAGAAACCTTTCGGGGTTTTTAACTGAACTGTTTTACTTCAACCATACATCTAAACAGAAATTTAACATGCAGTTTGATGACTGAAGGGACGCTTTCAGTTTGCCTAGATGCAGTGTTTGAATTGTTCTTTACTTTTATTGTTATATGAGGGCATTGTCACCTGTCAAAATTTTCAAGTAATCATGCCTAACTGGGCACTGTTCACTGAAATTCATGCACAAAGTGTCTTGGCACCTGTTCAGTTTACACCGTCACAAAATTCATGCCATAGCCTAATTAGGGAACCACACATGACTGCATGTTAGCCAACTAAGACAAAGAACCAGCCATTGTGAGAAAAGTGTTATAGTCTTTTTTTAAAACACATTGCCTGGAAATTCTATCTCTGGAACGAGTGAAGTGGCATTCACTATTTTATATCGTTGCTTACCATGGGAAAAGAACTATGTAATGGCCGTCTTGTTCTGAAAAGTACGAGTACATGAACACCGACAGCAACGAGAGTTTATGCATCTACCGTACAATGTGTGTGCACCTTGGTCCATTGTAGTCTAGAAGTGTTTTTCTTAGGAAACATACATGTAGGCTACCGGCTAGAATGCCGTGCGACGTGTATTGCGTGCTACTTTTCTCTGATTTTTACGGGGCGCATCACAATGGTAAACTTGCTGAAAAAGGATATTTTCTGCTCAGGACGTTTGGGCCCCCATCAGCCTTGGGAAGTAACTGATTCATGCAACCATTATGTACTTGGTTTTGAGGCAACTTGAAACACTTTTGATAACCCATTGCAGAGACCAGACCCATGGTTTTGGTATAGGAGAAATACCAACCAGTCCTTGATCAGTTTTGTAAGTGCTGGCATGAGAAAGGGCATGGCAGGCATCCTGGGAATGAGTTTGGCATGGTGCATGGAAGAAGAGATGGGGTTCTAGACTCAACACTTTTTTGTGCAGAATCTGAAGTTGACTCTATTAGGGAGTTGCATATATACTGAGTTTTGGGGGAGCCGACCTAAGTTACATGTAATTTGAGTTGAGGCTACCGGTAGTGTCAAGTTCACATGAACTTGTGAATGAATTGAATTATCTGTAAAGGTCACCGTAAAAGTACAGTAGATAAGTTCAAGAAGTTTGTCTCAATTTCACTTTCATGTGAAGCATTTCTGAATCTTTCCTGAAGTTTGTTAGAGTGAGTTATGCTTTTTTGGTTCAGACGTAGCTGTGCTGTGTAGATAAGAGCCTGAAATTAGTCAGTTTGAAGGGGGATCGTTAACCACCTTGCGGAAGCTTTTTGTTAGAAATTCAGATCATCTACAGGCACGATGAATTTCCAGATTTAGCAGAGGTCTCTTGATGTTGGCTTGCCCTTCCGTAGCACTCTCTGGTAATGAGATGATAACAGATGATTTTCCCTGTCTCACTCTTGAGATTATCACATGCATTACAGCCCTGTGCAAAGTTTACTTTACCGAAAGTAATAAGACAGTCTTCCTTGTAAATATCTCAAGCAGACTTGTGTTTTCTGAAAGCGTTGGTCTGTGACTCACATGAAAACAATTAAAGAAGACAGCTTGGGAATTATTTTTTTTTTTAAATTTGCCACCAAAACAATCATTGAGTCTCATGCATGACCGTGCCAGTGGGGTGCATGATTGCTTCTTTGGAGGCAAACACTGTATTGAGCAGAAGAGAACACTTACATGTCTCACGATAGCTATTATAGGAACAAACAACATGAAGACATTTTTCAGTTGGCCACGGTTTGGTCTTGACAGGAAAAATCTTCTCCCAAGGCTCCTGTTATCAGCATCAGTCAGGGATGTTAGATTTAAGGTCTGCTGCAATAGCCTGATTCGAGGATGTTTTTCAAAGTTTAGATACTCTGGCATATTGGTACCATAGCACACACTTGTCACATTTTACCTACTAGCTATTCTTAGGTTTTAGGCAAAATGTTAGAGCCAACTTACATTGTGCATCCCCGATCTGTACATTTCTGTTGCATGCCGACATTGACTGCATTGGTCTCTTGCAAAGACTGCAGAGGTTTGTGCTCATTCTCTCAAAAATTGGTCAGACTTTTACATGTTACATGCACGTGCATGTAGGGAGTGGAGATTGATACATGTGAGTCAGTGTGTGCTTGCCATGAGCTCTCTCAACTCATGTGAGAGGGTCACATGGGCAGGAGGACAGGAAAAGAGGTGTCATTAATCCTTTGCAGAGTCGTTTGAGTGGAGAGATCACGTGCATGTATATGTACGTCCTTTGAAAAAGCACAGGCACTATTTACAAGATTTCTATCAAGCCCTTTGAAAAGTAAGAGTGACTCTGCCTTCTTCAATCCTGCAAATTCTTCTAAAACTCTCTTCTAAAATTGAGACAGGGTGAAGGCAAAAATTGGTATGGTGGTCAGCAAGGCTTTTTTCTTTCGTTTCAAACAGTTGCATGTGCTTTCTAATCAGTATCCCAACTGTTTATGCAGTTGAGTACCTCTTTCTTCTCCTCATTCAAATAAATTTACATCTCTGATTGCCACTCGTCTCCCACAGCAGCAGAAGCCGCCCAGCGAGATCCCCATCGAAGACGAGGAGTGGTACCACGGTGCCCTGCCCCGCCCCGAAACGGAGGAGTTACTGGGGAACGATGGTGACTTCTTAGTCAGGGAAAAGAGCGACGCCTCAGGCCAGTACGTGCTGTCGGCGCGAACAGCGGGTAGAATCCGCCACTTCCCCATCCTACGCAATGAAGATGTGAGCATTGCCATTTGGTATTTGAGCCTTAGAGGCCGTAAGGATGGATTTTTTTTCTGTGCACAATTGCTGTTTGACATCCTTTTTGGGTGAAGTGTTTTGAAAAGTGCACTTCTTTAAGCACGTATGGGCATGTTCCAGCCTTGACTATTTGTCAATAAGTGGACAATTTTACCTGGTACCCGGGTTTGTGCGCTGGTTACCGGAGAAAACTGACCGGTAGTTGACAAAGGGTCGTCGCTCTGACTTGCCCCGAAATTGTCCATGTTTTCCTGGACACCTGAGTGCACTGCTACTTTGATGTCAGTTGGGAAGACACTTCAGTTTAAAGGTTTTCTATTCAAATTGTGAACACAAAAATGTGCTCTTTGAAAACATCTCAGAGCAAGGGTTGCTTATTGCTTTTATTGCTGTGCACTTAAATCATCACAGAAAAGCAATTTTAGGCCTGCAAAATGCTGTAAAATTCCCGCTTTTTTTATGTGTGCACACAAATCCCTCTAATATTAAGGGGGTTCTTGTGTGGCGACATCGGAGGTCAGGTGTGGGTTTTGCACTGTAAAATTGGGCCAAATTTGATCAGCGAGCATATTGTGAGCACATTGTGCGTCCACTTACTAATCCATGTACTGAGTTTAAAATGTTGGCAGGTGTGCAAAGTGTCACTAATTTAACTTGGCTAAGATGTGAGATTCCATGATACAATATGAATTAACCCCTCATGGACATATTCACGCTCAACCATTACCAACAATCGCCTTTATCCGTCCTTTGCGTCTCTCAGAATATGTACCGTCTGGAAGGAACTGCATTCCCCACTGTTGGCCATCTGATCCGCTATCAGATATCCAGCGGCACACCAGTCACCAAGGCCACTCAAGCCTGCCTGATCCACCCAGTGGTCAAGGTTCGAGATGAGCACGACCTTCGACACGAAGAGATTGAGCTTGGAGACAAACTAGGAGCTGTAAGATTGTTGTTGTTGGTTTAGAGTAACTCCACCCACCCCAGCAGTCAGTCGTCGCTTCCTTTTATTGATTTGGTTATTGCTATCATAAATGATTTTTCATTCATTTTATACTAGATTTTGTCCGCTCTTCAATTTCATATTCACACTATTTTAGTACTAGATTTTGCCCTAGCAGCAATGTACATCTGTCTTTTCCTGGTGGTCCAAGAGTTGGAAAAAAACACCAGCTTGCTCGGGTGGAATTCAAGCCCATAATGAACAGGAAGTTAGAGGTTCAAATAACCACCCGAGCAAGCTTAAGATTTTGTTTGGCACAACTCTTGGACCACACTGGTGAATCTAATGCTTGTACATTGGTGTTAGGGAAAACTTATAGGTAAAAACTCGACGTAAAGTCAAATGGACATCATTGACTTTTATTCCTTATTGTGATTAAATATGTGGTCAAGAAACTCAGTTATTTGCTGCTGTCAAGTCAGGTCATTAGTCATCGTAGTCTCATGATTAAATATTTCTCGACGATCATACTGTCCTGAATACTTTTCCCCGTTTAGAAATTATCTTTTCAAAAAATGCCTTTTCTTGGTAATGTAGACAAGTATTGTTCAATTCACCCACCTGCTTTGAGCAAAGTAAAGCCAGTACAAATGTATGTCACATGTGGCTCTAATTTTCATCAGCTGAACAAACAGCAGGTCAGGAACCCATGATGCCTTGTGCGCGGCGTGTCTGATGACCGTCGTTCTGTCATCGGTTTCCGTCATTGCTCCCTCAGGGACACTTCGGCGATGTCTTCCGCGGCAAGCTCAGGAAGGACGGCACCCCCGTGGCCGTCAAGACCTGCAAGGAGACGGTGGACGCAGCCACCCGGCGCAAGTTCCTCCAGGAGGCCAACATCTTGAAGCAGTACAACCACGCCAACATCGTTAAGCTGATCGGCGTCTGCACCGACAAGCACCCCATCTACATCGTCATGGAGCTGGTTCCCGGTGAGCGTGGCTCCTCCAAACTGCCCCCCCCCAACATCTTGACTCGCTCAGTGTTTCACCCTGTGAAGCTCCTCCTCGCTGAATGCCCCAGTTAACATGACCGGAGGTTTTTGCCTGGAGCCAGCTAAATATTCTCCCCTCAACCCTGAGGGACATCTAGCCCGCCAGTCACATTTTATGTGCAACCACTTACTACAATGCATCTTTTTTTCCTCCCTGCTGAGCTGCCAGGAGTTTTTAGTGGACGCTTGTGGCATATTTTGATATCAGTTTAAATGAAAATTTGATGCACTGTACCATTTTTGTAAAATGCCCTATTTGCCTGACCTTTGTTTAATTGTGAGGCATGTATTTAGACTTGGCAACTTCACAAAAAATTTCCATCAAATGTTACTCACAACTTTGCTCATCATTTTTAAGGGTAAGGTCACCAATAGCCATTTGAACTCTAACGTACGGAGCATTATGTGAAATCCTCAGTGGGTATGCAACATGTATGGTTTGTGGTTCCTGCAGGCCTTGCAGTGTTGTTAGACGGTGTGGTTTGTCAAGAAGGTTCACTTCATGGGAAGATTTCTGACGACACAAGATTTTGAAAAAAAAAAAATTGTTCATAGTTTCCATTGAGCTGTGTCATGTGTAAGTTGCATAAGATAATCCAGACTACCCTAATTGACTAAAGACCCATTTTCTGGGATGGTTGAAAATTATTTATTGACTGGAAGATGCAACACAAATTGTCTTGCCACAGGTGGCGACCTTCTGTCATTCCTCCGCAATGATGACAATGACATCAGCGTGAAACAGATGGTCAAGATGGCGGAGGATACCAGCGCCGGCATGGCATTTCTAGAATCCAAGAATTGCATCCACAGGTACGAGGGTGAATCGTGTACTGTATCTGTTTACTAAGGTTAGGACAAAAGAGGTTTTGAGTTTATTGTCAGTAACTTTATAAAACTTGTCGTACCTGTCAGCTGGAGAATTTTGAAAGGATGGAAGGCGGTAATAGCTTTCAGCTTAAGAGTTCAAATGATCCGTGATGTGACTTTTACTTTGGAACTTGGTTTATGTTACTTTCTACCCTTAAATGTATGAAAATTTTGATATCTCCTTTTGGTTATTCTCAATTTAAAATGCATTTCTTTTTGGACATTTACAGTCATCCATGCCTTTCCTGACATATGAGGGCGCTGTTGTTGTGATGTCATTACGGGAACACACTGTTCATTTCCAGGGTTTCTCTGTTCAAATTGTGGACCCCAAATTTGCTCATTGAAATGACTCATGAGAAGACTTTCCTCGCTGGCCTCATGTCATTAAAGTAAACAAAACCTGCGACAACAAACTGTCTGAAATTTGGACACATTTATTTGAGCAGAAACTGCAGTAACACTGAGGTTTTACCTGTAAATATGCAAATCTGTGTCAGCAGAAAAACCTACCAAATTATCCTTAAAATTGCACAACAGTTTTAAACTTTAAAAACTTTTAAACTTTGAAAATCAGATTAATTGGGACACAAAGGATCAGTTACAAAACTGCATCTATCACTTGCTGCTGGGTTTAATTTGAAGTTGCATGACAAATTCCCGGGGAATTTTCAAGATTTTCTGTTTTCAAAATTCTTCAAAAATTCATAACTTTATTTACTTCATAACTTCATTTTCTTGAATGACTGTCTGGTGGCTACTCTAATCTGACAGACAACATGTATTGATGCCCGAGTATTTCAGCTAGGCCCTGCCGCCTTTTAAAGAGAGCCCAGATTGTGTGTGTTACGTAATTTTCTTTTGTTCCTGAAACTGGCCCAGTGCGCTGCTGGCATGTTTTCAAATGCGGCCAGATTAGTGTGCAGTGGTATTGTTTCGGTCATTGCTGGAGCGCTTTTGTCCCTATCAATCCGCTTGCGCTGAATGCTACAAACAGTGGTATACTCTTTCAAAACAATGATAGATTACCTCTACTATTGACAACTGAAAAAATGTTGGCAATTCCCAGCAGCTCGGTCTTTTGTTCTGAGTATGCTGTTTTGTGACAAGGCCCAGCTCCTTTGTCTGATTTCGGGCACCCTGGCTGTGTATACACACAGCCAACATCTACGGTACCAGGCACCTCGACACAAAGTGGTTTATAGAACGGCCTAAATCCTTTGTCTTTTACCCTCCTTAATCCTTCAAAATCCACCAGAAAGTTTTTGAAGAAAGAGATGGCTGCTTTTGAAATGTGAATGTGCCGTCGCTTGGCGCCATGTCACCATCTTGGGAAGCGTGTGACAGTTGTCGTTATCTTTTGCAAACAAACAGAGATCTGGCTGCCAGAAACTGCTTGGTCGGACACAAGAACATCATCAAGATCAGCGACTTTGGCATGTCCCGAGAGGACAATGTCTACACCATCAAAGGAGGAGCCATGAGGCAGATACCCATCAAGTGGACAGCACCTGAGGCCATGAACTATGGTAGGCAAATAACCCCGTCTACGTCTATACAAAGTTTCACATTGGTGAAAGGTTTTAAGCTTTCTCATTTCCATTTCTAAATAGAAATTAGACATGCTGTCTGTCCAAGAATGGAATGACAGACTTTTCCGGGTATTCACTAGTTTTGACTTTGGAAGCATAGTGCTAGATGTGCCATTTTTGGGTCAGAAATGTTTCATAACAGTTTTTCCTTGTCTTGTTTGAGTTTCCAAAAAGCACATCTACTGACATCAAGATGATGTCACATTTTTCTCTGACACGTGTGTGATTTGCACACACACCCTGTACCTATGACGTGTGTGCATGTAAAATACGACTGTTATGGCTGATGCCAGCAACATCAGCTACAATATCAGCTACATACAAGCTCACCCTGCAAGAATTGAAGCTAGACTAGAGTGCAGATGTCTTCACCACCGACTTTAGAGCTAGTTGTGGTCTGCATTGTCAGAGTTTAAGTAGAGATTGTTATCTTTCGGTTGGAAAGAGGATGTGGTCTTAATCTGATACACACACAGTTTCATATTGTATGTTCCTGCTTTGGCAAAGTCCAAAAAGGGAAGAAAAATCATTTTGAAGTAATGTTGTAAGGGCCACTTGCATCCACTTATGTCACCTGCATGTAAGAGCATTTGTGAATTCAATATTTTGTAAATGTGTTGTGGACTTTTGACGCAACAATTTAACAGTTTGAACCACTCGTAATACGGGCGATTCACAGTAGTGCGCCACCAAGAGTTTGCAACGCGTTGGCCAGTCATAACGGGCAAAATTTGTCGACCATTTCCAAACACGCATTGGGTCGACAAATTTTGCACATTATGATTGGCCAACGCGTTGCAAACTCTTGGTGGCACACTATTGTGAAACGGCCGTAATTGTCACAAATGTTGACAAGTCAACATGCAGTACTTTTTAAGTTTACGTTTTAAGTCGAAACAGTTGACCATAACGGGGATCATTTCTTGTTTCTCGTTATGCGTCACATTGAGACTTTGTGACACTTAACATGAAGATGAGATGGAGGTTGGAGATACCTTATTATCTTCCGTTGTGTCCTTTGGCAGGAAAGTACACAACCATGTCTGACGTGTGGAGTTTTGGGATCTTGCTATGGGAGGTATTCTCGCACGGGAGCACGCCGTACCCGGGCATGTCAAACCCAGACGCAAGGGAGAAGGTTGAACAGGGTAAAGGAAGTCACAGATTTTCATCTTGAGATTCAGATTTTCGTCGGGCTGTGTATACACTACTTCAGTTGAGCAGTGTTATAGTCCATAAGGCCAGCTCACCAGTGCACAAACAGACAGGAATTAGATACATACATGTACATGTAGCAGCCAATTTTTTACAAACCAAAGAAACATGAACACATTCCAAATTTCTCCGATTTTTCACTAACACTGCCTGGTTATGGCATCAAATTAAATGTTCATGGTTTGCATTCATTTTTGGAGCCTTGAAGTGACCATTGGGCTACAGTTACGTGACGCCCTACAAATTCACTCTTTTTACTGAGAGAGATTGAGTCAAATCACCAGTTTTTGTTTTCTTTACTGTCTGACAACATGATGCACCCACACTCTGCGCTTGACGGCTTTTGGAAATGCCGTCATTTTCTTTGCGTTCATCTTGTTGCTTGTACGCTGAAGTGAAATGTCTTTTATCTGTATTCTCTGAACCTAGTTTACCGCAGTAGTGCATGTCAGATATTCTGATGGGAGACGATTTTTTTGTTTCAGGTTACCGAATGCCAGCACCCCAGGACACTCCGGAAGAGATCTACACGCTCATGCTGCGATGCTGGGAATACCACGACGAGAACCGGCCAAAATTCAAGGAGATCCATGCCTTACTCAAGCGACTCACCAAGACGATCAAGTAAACCACGTGGTGTTGCCGAGGGGGGTGTTGACGTGGGACGACGGCATGGGCACGCGACCGGAAGGGAAGGTCTGTGCTGATGTGACAGATGCCATGCATTGTCTCAAAAAAGACCATTGGAATATCTTGATAGACTGCGGGAGGACTGTATCTGTGAACTGCCATGGGGAGGGGCTGCACAGTAGGTGAAAGAGTGTCGTGACAAGACCGTGGGAGTGTCTTGACAAGACCACAGGGAGTGTGACAAGACAATTGGAAGAGTCTGGACAAGTCCATGGGAGTGCCTTGGTAAGACCAAGGGAGTGTCTCAACAGACCTGTGGGGAGTGTCATGACAAAACCGCAGGGAGTGTCTCAACTCAACAGGCCAATGAGGAGTGTCTTGACAAAACCGCGGGAGTGTCTTCACAAGACAACGGGAGTGTCTTGGCGAGACCGTCTCAACGACCACTGGCAGCGTCCCAACAAGACCATTGGGAGTGACTCATCAAGACCAAATAAGCACCTCAACTGGACTGAACCCCGAGAATGTCTTGACAAAGCTGTAGAGCTCTTCAAAAGCTGTTTGGCGGGGATGACATACCATGAAGTAAAAATTCTTGTCACAGGTTTGCAAGATATTTCTCTGGTTTGGAAATGTTTTCAACAGCTCGTGCAAAGCAAAATGTTGCAAGAAAGAGTGGAGATGGGCGATTCTTCTCACTACACTTTTTTTTAAAATTCAGTGAAAGTATATTTCAGGTTCATAAGTCAGCTAATGTGGCCTTCCGTCTGGGTGAAAGATTGCTTGTTCCGAAAGCAAAAATTGGTGTAAGCCAGCGTTGTAGTCGAGGTTATCATAGGTCCGTTACAAGTCATCAGTACGATGCCAGTTCTCAGGCTATTCAAGTGAACTGTGAAAAAAAAAGTATTCCTTCGTCATTTCTCACCCTGTTACTTATGACAGGTTTGGTGAGGGGACTCGTTACTTGACTTGTAAAGGGATTTGTGGCGGACTCGACTACATCCCTGGTGTTAACTGATGCGATTGGTTATGTATCTCTTCGTCGTTGCAGAGAAAAATGCTTTGTGGACGTAAGGCTGGTACCTAAGCAAAATTCTTATTTTTCCTAATTCTATTTTTGGAATACGTGTAATTCAGTACCGACATGCCTGTTAGTTCTGTTTGCCAAGAATTCCAACTCATTCTGCTGTGAAATCCATGTTGTACATAAATGTAGTAAATAAAAGTTTGGATTATACTGTAAAATTGTGTACAATCTATATTTCATATTTTCTTGTCTTTCAAGAGAAACATTGTCTAGAGGCATGAAGCATGCATCTTGTTATTAAAAGAACAAGCAACGCCTTCTAAAAAGAGAAAGTTTCTTTTGTTTTAACTTTCAACAATTCATATTGAATTTGCTTCAGACAATGAGTCTTTCTTTAAATAGAATTTATTTTCTGTGTAATAACTTTTGTAAGCTTTGTGGGAGCACTCATTTGACACATTTTTGCTCTACCTGTTGTTATTATTTGTGCATTTAGAGTTTAGTTTAAAGCATCTGCTTTTAAAAGTCTTATTTCTGCATTTCCAAATTAATTTGTCATTTAATATGAGACACAAGGGTGGTTTTCAGGAATCCCAAAGTTGAGAAATATAGCATTGGTTTTTAAATTCATTCCCTCGTCAATGGTACATTGCCAGCAAGTGTGAAGTCACATGGTCCAGCCAAGTTCTGAATGCAGTCTGAGAAAATTTCCAATATGCTGAGGTGTCGTACTTGACAAAGGTGTTGCTTTTTTTAGAATTAACCGCCGAGGACGCAAATTAATACACAAATACATGTACATTTAATGATGTTTGAGCAAAGTGTTCATAAGAAGACATTTGTGAATGGTTTTCCAAAATCAACCCTTGTCTGTAAAGAAGTGGAAAAAAGCATGGTGCTTTCGCCCTGAGGCCTCTTCAGTCTTTGTAGAGGCAACCCAAGTACTGTCTTTGACCCGTCAAGAATGGTTGTACAATTCACTAACGGGAAGTTCAGTTGTGAAATATAAGGAAGTGATTGTAAAGGCCTAGCAGTTGGCACTACTTCTCTTTGTGAAGTATAACAATTTTTCCAGTCACTTCCTCCAGGAAGACTTTCTGTATGTAATCTTTAGTGAGTGTGTGTGTGTTGAAGGGGGAGGCCTGCGAAGTGCTGCCAGAAAACTGGTGGGAGTTGCCCCCTTTCCCCACCACCCACTGCATGACGAAACGGTCAACAGTCACAGTGATACGCCTCCATATTTCTGCCTCTGAAGGGCACATTGAAAGCCTCACTAATGCCCTCTGTAAAGAACCACCCTTACTGATTGCTGAAATATTTCTAAGCTCCACGGATGGACCAGCTACATGCTGGGTCAGTGTTATATGTACATGTACAGGCGTACTTACTCAGAGGTTTTATCCATACAAGAGTCACATCATAGGGACTTGCAAATTAACCTATACAGACAGGTGGTTGAGTACATATGGCATAGTGTATAGTCCTTTGATAATGCTGAGGGCAGTTTTCACGTTCTCAATACAAGACAGAGTGGCCATCATCAGTGATACATTTTGGCAAAGTAGCCCAGTATGTATGTACTATATATAGTGCATTGCTTTTCCGTTGCACATTCATGCATGAAATGAGATACTTGCGTACTTGAAGGCTTTTAGATGTTTATGCATGTAGGGGAAGGGTAAATAGCTTTGTCACTGATGACGAGAGAAGAGATGACCAAACATTCCTTTATTTATTTCATTTGGGGAAGATTTAGTCTCGAGTTGACCAGTAAGTCTGCCAGAAATTGGAGCCCATACTACTATGGTTTCATATCTGTGCCTGGGTCATGCACACCTATGAAAAGCCTCTTTGACAAGTTGGGATATGAGACTTGGTACTTGAGTGTGATGGAAGTGCGGTATTATTTTGAGTGCACGTAAACGTAATTCAAATTATCAAGGACCTCAGTGTACCAGATCCTATTCAAATTTAACTCGTAGAAGGCTCATTCAGGGTTTCTGTCGGCTTCTCTGTTGTAAAGTGGCCCCTCTTAAACCTTGTCCATTTTCTCGCTGTGTTTCCCACCCTTGTCCTCACCCACAGCTTGGCCGGCGACACACTGGCGGAAATGGTCTTGGGTGTACACCTTGTAATTACCACACTGACACTGGGAAATATTCCAACGCACTCAAATGGCAATTGTGATATGTTTGCATGCGATCGAGCAATCAACCACTTCCTTAATTGTATGCATCGTAGCATGGATGTGTAATTTCATATCCATGTGAAATATTGCTATGAATAGCATTTCATTGTATAGTACATGTACATGTAGGTATGTTATTGCAATTAATGTAAATTGTGATGAACTGTATTATGAATGATAGCTGTCTGATTAACAAATTATGTGAGAGCTCTATAATTTAAACTGGGAAGGGATTACACTTTTTATAAAATACTTCCACAGCTCAATTAAGGGTAGTGTAATATGAAAGTATGGGAAATGAGGTAATATTGTAATAAATATTATATGTATTTTGCTATGCAAATATTCATTGCTTAATTGGTGGGCAGTAAACATGAAAATACCAATTTTATCAGTCATTGAATAATGCGGAATAGATGACTTATTTAGATCAAAAAAGGATATTACTCAGATGGTCAAGTGAAATAAAAGACATATTTTTAATGTTGGTGTCCATTTACACTGTATGTTACTAGGCATGGCTGGGTAATTAGGGAATAATTCATTCTTACAAATGACACAAAGCTACAATGTATTATTTTTTTAAAGCAAATTTTATTTTTTTCCCACCAAAAAAAAAAATATTTTTTTTAAACAAACATCCCCAAATCCCACACCACTATTAATAATGGCACAACCTGTTTTCATAGTGTACCATCCTTCTCCCAGTTTATACACAAAATGAGGGAAGATGGTTGCCATGATGTACAGTGTGCATGTGGAAAAATTTTGATAAAGTGATGATATCCAGACCAGAAATGGTCCATTTCCGAATGTCAATTTGTACACTCGCGGAGGGGATCAAGGGTCGAGATAAAAGAGCACTCTTTGCATTCTCATAATGATAAAAACAGATGGCCCTGAAAACCACCCCCCAAAAATATGAAAGACTATGCCAGAAAGAAAAACCCTAACAGAATTCAACCAGAAAGTAAGAACAAATTCTTTTTCCCAGGACAATAATAAACCTTTCATACAGAATTTATCAGAATTATCAGGCAGTGGTGTAACATCTAAAAATTTGTTTGGAAATATTTTCAGAGGAATGAAACGTCTGGTAGGGAAAAAATTAATTTAATAAACACTGTAAACCTAAAACAAATGAACAGCTATTTATAAGAGAAACAAATTCATAAATGGGAAAAAATCAAAAATCTGAAAAACTGGTAAAGAATTTCCTCTCACAGATTACCTATGCCAGACTCTATATATAAGATATTAATTTAGTCAAAAATATTTTGATTATACATTATTTCCCCCTAATAATAATTCCCTAGCATGTTTAAAACATACATGTAATTTCAAAAAACTTCACTTCAAAATTCAGAACAGTCCACTCCAAAAGTATGTTGTGGAACCTTGCTGTGACTTCTGGTGTTTTTGATTTGAAATGGCCATTGGGTCTTCTTTGGAATAAAATTGAATTAAAATCTTACCTAACCAAACAGTGCAAAAGACCAGTGAATGAAGGCTTATGGAGAATGTGATGGTGCCTCTGTAAATACACCAGTGCAAAGGTTACAGAGGTCAACCGTGGAACAATGGCACAGAAACTTACTACACACGAACTACCCACTGCTAACAAATGAGGCTTTTGAAGTAAATGCCAGTTTGCTAGCACCATTTTGTCCCTAGCAGCTCCGTCAAATCTGGCCCCAATCACAGTGTCAGTACCCTTCACATGTCCATATCTAGAATTTTAGGTCCATACTTCAACACTACAGAGAAATAACAAGGCAGCCAGATGTCATATGAAGCTGTCCATTACTCGACAAAACACTGGAAACGACTGACCCTCAAACTCCCTCCCTAGCTCATCCACATGCAGAAATAACACCAAATTAATAAATTCTCTTCGGTCTATTAACATGAGGTTGTTCCACCAACTTTTTAATTTACTCAGACACTGGAAATCTTCACAGCGCTACCCACTGATGAACGCACATGCCTAGTATGTCAATCACAAAGACAACTGCTTCTCAGACATGTCGTCGAATGCTTGACCCTCTGCTGATAGGTAATGCTAGGCAACAGTTAACCCTTAACTCTATGGACATTTTTGCTCTGAGCCTTCCCGGATCCTTCAAAATCCTCCTTGGGTGCGTTCTTTGTCTCAACACTTCCAAGGAACACCAAGCCTCATGTCAGGTAATGGTAGCTGGGCTCAACCTCCCTTGATCCTGCAAAATCCTTACAAATCTCCAGGAGAATTCCAAAGGATCTTGGAGGGCTGTCCCCAAACCCTCCGCATTAAGAATGCCCAGTTTGACAGGATTACATGTAAATGCTTAACGCTGGTGGTTTCAGACAAACCTATGAGGATGTGTTTCGGCTACTTTACAAATTACTGTTTAAATAGGTAAAAGTGGTTGAAAAATCAATTTATATTTTTCACATTTGATTTACTGAATATAATACACAATACAACATGAAACAAAAAGTGCTGATCGAGAGAGATTATTTTCCATTTAAGGACTAATTATCCATATTTTGTAGAATTTTGCTCAGATCCAAACCATACCTTTGGAAATAATGGAGTCATAAAGTTGAGCCAAAAAAGAACAAAAACCAGATCTACATATTAAACTCAAAGCCTTTTTTTCCCCTCTATTATTATCCCTGATCAGGTCAGTCTGAAAATCTCCAATCCCACTCAGAAGATGAGGCTTGGCACAAGACTTAAATTCCAAGCATGTACACGTGTGTTTCTCAGTGAATGTGTGTGCATGTAAAGCACACACACTGACACATGTAGTTTTAGAGCCAGGAACTTAAAAACCTTTTTATGACAGCCACCGCTGGTCAAACGCTGATGCATGTATTGAACCCACGTAACTCAAGAATCTTGGGTCCAAATCACTCCCAGTCTAGGAGTTATCTACTCACTTCAATGAAGGGAACTATCCAGGCTTGGTAAACCAAACTCGGGGATGTACAGGCAAGGACGCAAGGAATGGACCAACAAAAACAACGGTAGTTCCAGATTCGTTCAAAATATGTTTCAGGGACCTACTAATACATTTTTCCCACGCTACAGAAAGGAGCGTAAATCAGAAAATTACTCTAAAATATGAAAACCTCTGGCTCCCGCCTATTTCTTTGGTACTTAGCTCACACCGGAGATACATGTATATGCTCGAGTGAGTGACAGAATATCACTTTATGGAAACTCTTTCCATCAATCTGTGAGTTTCCGGGGGGGTAGCATGGATCTGAAACAAGCAGTGAGAGTTATAATAAATGGCTAGATCACTGTGTTGTGTCACATACAAACTTCCCAGCCTCCCCCCCTCCTCGACCAAATCCAAGCTTTGCCACACCGATTCCATTTCCCATTTACACCAAGCACCTGCACATGTCACAGGCAGGTGTACAGTTCGAGAAGTTCAGGAGGGTTTAAACCATTCCATCAGACTGCCAAAAATAGAAAAACAAAATGGAAAATGGCAATAAACCCTCTTTTTAGTCACAGCTCTATCCATCCCTGTATTAACCCATGAACTGCACAGACCCAAACAGCCCATCTTTATGGCACATACAAAGATATTGTACAAGCATGTACTATTTAAAAATTTATATTGACACATTCAAGTTATTACAAAAATAAAAGGCACATTTCAACATCTCTTTTCTGATTCTAAATGCAGGGTCCAATTTCATAGAGTTTTCACTACTGCCAACAATGTGTGCAGGTGAATATTTGGGTTTAAAATGTCCCTGTTACTTTCTTCCAACCAATCCTATACAAAACAGCTGTCTGATACGTTCTTGTGCGATTATGATTCCGGGTAGTCACTGGGGCTGCGTCCTAATCTTTGTGACTAAGGCTACACGCAGATCTTCAATAGTTGCAAACGTATATTGGCACATCCTGGCAACAGCCGTAGCCGTAGCGACCGAAGACAGTTTCCGACCCGACCCGGCCTACTCCTTATCACAGAGGATGGCTTACTCTGAGTGCATCTTTCAGTACTTTTGTGCAGTCCAAATGAATGATAGGGCCCGTCGGTCTTATCCTGGTGAACAAAAGCTGTGCCTTCAAGATGGCCACTGTGCAAAGAATTCACTGGCTCTTCGGTCACAATTTCCAGAGACATACATGTAGCGGTCATATTATTCAGTGGTCACTGGATTGTACCAATTTTGGTTACAGTGACCAGCAATATCTATGATTCCCACGTACCAAGCATCCCAGGGATGTTGCTACTGTACTCCATTTGGCTTTGGAAAGTGACGAAATCCTTCGATAAGAATAGCTGACAGTGTACCGACACCTTGCAGCAGAAACTTTCACACTACTTGTAAGTAGTTTTTGTGCAACAAAGACAAACCACTTAGGGAAGTGCTTGTTAGCT